GGGAGAGGGGGAGAGGGGGAGAGGGGGAGAGGGGGGAGAGGGGGAGAGGGGAGGGGGAGAGGGGGAGAGGGGGAGAGGGGGAGTGGAGGAGGAGGGGTACTCGAATTGAAGAACAGAAAGGACCTTCTGGAAGTCTCATTCCCAAGAACTAGGTAAGTTAAACAACGGGCGCTCTCTAAGGGCTAGACACTACATCCTAAGCTCCTCAAGCCTCAACCACAACTACACCTAAACCCAAACCCTAAACCCGAAGCCTTAAAACCTAAACCCTAACTCTTGTGAACCCGAAACCCTAAACCTTCAACCCTAAACCCTAACTCTTGTGAAGCCGAAACTCAAAACCCCAAAACCTAAAGCCGCAACGAATTGACGACCAGGCCACTGTCCTGGGATTTGGCCGCGGAAGTTCGGCCAGGGTGCTTGCGCTTTCTCCTCACCTGGGTTGAGGGGTTTAGCGGTTTTGGGAGACCCTGAAACATAAACCCTAAACCCTGAATCCTGAACCCCGAACCCTGAACCCTGAACCCTAAACCCTAAACCCAAAATACCCTAAACCCTAAGCCCAAAACCCGAAGCCCTAAACTCTTAAAACCCCTAAAACCTTTAAAGCCCTTATAACCCTTGAAGCCCTGTACTTTAAACACTACCCCCAAACCCTAAAGCCTAAACTTAGGGGTTGGTGTTGGGGTTTCGAGGTGAAAGCTTTGGAGACTTGACGAGGGTTGTGCGGCTGTAGGCGTGGGATCTGCAAGGGCATGCGCCCCACGAAAGCACCCCGAGTTGAGGGTTTAGGGTTTAGGGTTTAGGGTTTAGGGTTTAGGGTGCAGAAGAATAAGAGACACTGTGAGGTAGTTGGGCATGCGAAAACCCTGAACACACGCAAGAGATTCCCACGATAGGGGACCGAACCCACCCTTAGATTCCCAAAACCAAAAGTCCCTTAAGCCCTAAACCCTGAAACCAAACCCGAAGCCCTAAAGACCCCTAAGCCCTAGTCCCTTGAGCCCTAAACCCTAAAATCCCTTGAGCCCTACACCCGAATCCTAAATCCTAAACCCTAAACCCAAAATCCTAAACCCTAAACCCTAAATCCTAAACCGTAAACCCTAAGCAACCAGCAGCCAGGTAGCGGCGGCGCGCGTGGAGCTCCATCTGAAGGAAGTTGGCTGGGCAAACGCCTTCCTCAAGAAGGGTGTAGGGGCTTTAGGGGTTTAGTGCACTGCAAGGGTGTAGGGTTTAGTTTGTCTTTTAATCTGGAATCGTTAGCGGGACGATAACATGGTGTCTCGTATACCTTATCTGATAGGTGTTCAGCCGGTACATCTAACCCATGACGTACGTGAGCTTGATGTTCGCACACGTCCCACAGATGATGATCTTGGATATCACCACAAACGAGGCTATCGTCTGTGAGCGTACGGACAGTATTCAGCGGAAACTGAATCCCAGAAATAGCAGGAATGGCTCATCGCGGCCTCGAGCTGCAACTGAGAAGTTGTGTAGTCCTGAGACTCAGAAACCACTCCATACAGTCCAGAAGGACACCAGCCAGATCGTCTCCAGGTAAGAGAGCCGTCCGGCTCGATAGTGCTGCAATTCAATGCGGCATTGAGAATCGCCTCACAACATTTAAGGCGCAAGAGATCCGAAGGCGTGGGTCGAAGCATAGACAAACGTCGCCGGTTGAGGGGTTAGGGTTTAGGGTTTCATTAGGATTTAGGATTTTGGGCTTTGCTAGGTCTTAGGGGCCCTAAACCCGAATTTACTTATAAATTGGGCTGACTTCAGCCATGAAGAAACTTGACAAAATCTGCTTGTCACCCAGTTTAGGGAGTCGGGTTGTGGGCATAGGTTCGGGGGCTTAGGGCCCTAAACCCTGAACCCTAAACCTAGAACCCTAAAACCCTAAACCCTATACCCTAAATCCTCAACCCTGAACCCTAAGGGTTCGGGCCGTAGGGCTTTGAGGCTGCGGGGGAGGGCCCTCGATTCTAGGGCGTGTAGGGTTTAGGGTTTAGGGTCCTTGTGCAGGAGCAGCTCTAAAAAACCCACACACGAGCTGCACACCCCAAGGCTTAGGGCTTAGGGCTTAGGGCTTCGGGCTTCGGGCTTCGGGCTTCGGGCTTCGGCCTTCGGGCTTAGGGCTTAGGGCTTAGGGTTGGGGTTAGGGTTTAGGTTTAGGGTTTAGGGTTTAGGGTTTAGGGTTTAGGGTTTAGGGTTCAGGGTTCAGGGTTCAGGGTTCAGGGTTCAGGGTTTAGGGTTTAGGGTTTAGGGTTTAGGGTTTAGGGTTTAGGGTTTAGGGTTTAGGGTTTAGGGTTTGGAGTTCAGGGTTTGTGGTTTAGGCTTAGGGTTTTACTTTCTAGGGCTCCGTTCAACCCCAAACCGAATGCTCAAAGCACCAACGGCGCAGCGACATCTGTGCCGAGGCTCTGCGCAAGCGACCGCCGCGTCGGCCTCCATCCGTGGAAAGCAAGAAGTTTTTTTAGCCGAAAGGGTTTAGCGTTTAGGGCTTAGGGCTCAGGGCTTAGGGTTTAGGGTTTAGGGGTTAGGGTTTAGGGTAAACCCTGAACCCTAGGCTTGAGGGTGTTGGGGATTCTTTCCCCCCAAGCTCCGGAGGGTCTGTGTATATTTGGCAAGTTCCCCTTATCTCGTGGCCTCTTTCTTTCCAGAAATGAGGAGCCAAATGAGGAGCGACATAGAGAAGGAATGTCAGGCTTTTGCGTGCACGCCTTCCCGGGTTTAGGGTTTAGGGGTTTAGGGTTTCAGGGGTTCAGGGGTTCAGGGGTTCAGGGGTTCAGGGGTTTAGGGGTTTAGGGGTTTAGGGGTTTAGGGGTTTAGGGGTTTAGGGGTTTAGGGGTTTAGGGGTTTAGGGGAAACCCGAACTAAACCCACATCATAGTGTTGGGGCGCTTGGGTTCCACGATGCTAGCCTCGGAGACATCGCTGGCATGCTGGCCCCGGGCCAGCGACAGGGCCAGCAAGGCCGTTGTCCACATCCTTTTGAAGGTAGGTTTCTTTGTTCTTAGGGCTTGGGGTTCAGAGATTTGCCAAGGTTGTGGATTTCGGATGTTGGGACTGAGGCGTGGGGTTTAGGGCCTGGGGTTTAGGGTTTTGGGTTTAGGGCTTGAGGGTTTAGGGCTTTCAGGCTTACGGGTTTAGGGATTTAGGGCTTAGGGGTGGGGTGTTCTAGAGTGGGTATGTTAGACCCCTAACCCCGATAGCATAAGGCTTGGAGACGGAGGGCTTGCGGAAAACCCTCACCCAAAGCCCTCACTCAAGGGACTCGTACCTGGACTGGTTTGGGGTTAGGTTTTTTGGGAAAGGGTTAGGGTCTTAATGTCAGGGCGGAGGATCTTTGAAAAGGGTCCTCAAACCCAAAGGGTACAACCTTACTTAGGGGTCATCCCTCCGATCCCTAAGCTGTCAAACCCCAAGCCACAAAACCCTAAACCCTAAACCCTAAACCCTATGTCTACAAAACTTTCACATGGGCTGCTTCTCCAGATGGAATTACGTAGGCTTGAGGTCTAGGCTTGGGGGTTCAGGGCTCACCCTTTATGTATGGGTAAACCCTGAACCCTCAATGCCCCCCTCCCCTAATAGGGTTTAGGGTTTAAGGGTTTGTAGGATATCAAGCCTCGCGAAAGAGAAATGAGCCCTACGTCGGGGGAAGTAGGGAGTTCCTATGAGTTTGAACTCTGCAAACCCTAAAACCCTGCAAAGCCTTTAAACGCTACAAACCTCATAAGCCCCTAAACCTTGAAAACCGCATCAAACCTACTAAGCCAAAATCCTTGCAAACCCTAAATCCTCAAACACCGATAAAGCCTGAAATCTCATACCCGAAACCTTTATTCTGCGGGTAGTTACATGGTCCCTCAGCATGGGCCCTTAAAAAGGGGACCCCTTATATACCCCTTCATTAAATACTCTATACGGCCCAAGGGCCCATACTTCAGAATCGGTAAGGGACCATATTTAGTGGCCATGTAACTACCCTTGGATGGATTGAGGATCTAGCCCTAAACCCTAAACCTAAACCCTAAACCCTAAACCCTAAACCCTGAACCCTGAACCCTGAACCCTGAACCCTATACCCTAAGGCTCAAACCCCCCTTAGAACCCTCAACCCCATAAACCCCTGCAAACCCTGAACTGTGGAGTAGGCCGCTGAGTGTCATGAAAGGTGGGTGCGGTGCTCGAAGGTTTGAGCCAAACCACGCTGCAGAGCTTCCAGCGGTTTTGGGGTGTGGGGTTTGGGAATTAGGGTTTGGGGCTTGGGGTTTAGGGTTTGGGGTTTAGGGTTGAGGGTTGAGGGTTTAGGGTGGCGCGAAGAACCCAAAAGCTTTCTAGCCCAGAACCTTGCTTCTTGAACTGTTGGGAGAGGCTTCAGAGAGCTGCCGTGGTTGAGGACGTTCAGGTTTGCTATCGAAGGGGCAACGGGTTGGGGGATTTTGGGTTTAGAGGTTTAGAGGGCCTGTAGCACAAACCCTAAAAGCCCCACGCGCAGAGATGAGGGTCGAGCAGGGCTTGTTCTGCTTACCACGTTCCCCTCTCTTGATTCCCTGGCGCGATGAAAAACCAAAGCCCGGACGAAGGGAATCCAGGTTCTACCCTAGACCTTACGCCCTTAAGCCACAAAGCAAGGGGAAACAAATGATGCTAGCCTAAACCCTGAACCCGAAACCCGAAAACAAACCCGAAACCCTAAACCCGAACTCTCCCCCTAATAGCCTAACCCCTGAACGGTTACCCTAAACCCTAAACCCTACACCCTACACCCTACACCCTACACCCTAAACCCTAAACCCTAAACCCTAAACCCTGAACGGCGTGTGGGGGGGGGGGGGGGGGGGTTACCAGGCCTCAAATCCCGCAACCCTCCTTGGACACAACCCCAACCCCAAGCCAGGCGGCTGAGAATGGGCCTAGCCCCCTCTTCCGGGGCTTTGTGGGTTTAGGGTTTGGGGTTTAGGGTTTTAGGGTTCTCCCCCCAAAGCCTGGGACTTTGCAGAGGTAGATGCGGCCGAGCCCGAGCTGCGCCAGCTGCGGCAGCAGCCTCCGGCCAAGCGAAAGTTTTTGGAGGTCGCATGAGAGAAAAAGGTTCTGGGCTTTTGGGGTTTCAGGCCTTTGGGGTATTTAGGGTTCTAGGGTTTTAGGGGGCTTATAGGGCTTTAGGGTTTTAGGGTTCTAGGTTTTTTTGTTTTAGGGTTCTGGGGTGGTGGGGCTCTAGGTTCTAGGGTTTTAGGGTTTAGGGTTGCGGGTGTGAAGGTTTCAGGGTTTACGTTTACAGGTGGGCAGTTCGTTGCTGTTTGTAAGCCATGTATCCTAAACACTCAAGCGCGCATCTACGCTTCTTCGAAGAGTTCTTGTAGGGGACGCTACCCACCTGAAACCGTCCTAGAATGAGCGGTTGAGGTCGCGGGCTTCCGCAGCCCAAGCCATCGACACCCTGGCAGAGTTCAAGGTCCAAGGTTTAGGGTTCAGGTTTAGGATGTAATTCCACTGATTGCATGTAGTCGGTTTAGAGTTAGGGTTTTATGGTTGCGTGCCTGGAGCCTACGATTGTGGGTGCAAGTAGGGGGTCTTACTGTTCACACAAACCCTAAACCCTAAACCCTAAACCCTAAACCCTAAACCCTAAACCCTAAACCCTAAACCCTAAACCCTAACCACTAAACCCTAAACCCTAAACCCTAAACCCTAAACCCTAAACCCTAAACCCTAAACCCTAAACCCTAAACCCTAAACCCTAAACCCTAAACCCTAAACCCTAAACCCTAACCTTTAAGGAGGTTGCGGTGGGGGGTGAGGGGGGAAAGGTCGGCCCGCCGCTGAAATCGATCGAAGGCCGGCGGCACCAGGAGCAAATCCACCTTTCAAGGGACTGAGGTTCAGGGTTTACACGTTTAGGGTGTGTGACTATGACTGTTACTATTTAGTATTGTTGTAGTATTATTACTTACCATTACTATTATTATCATGATGCTGATTATTTATGTTGTGTTTATTCTGCCTATTGATGTATTCTTGTTAATCGTGGTGATTTTCTGACTGTCATTGTGATGTTTTTATTCTTCTGATTATTACGCTTACGTTTACTATTATTATTAGTTTTATTATTATTATTATCATTATTGTTATTATTATTATTACTATTATTGTTACTATTACGCTTACTACTGGTATTTTTATTGTTATCATTTTTGTTGTTGTTGTTGCTGTTGTTGTTGTTGTTGTTGTTGTTGTTGTTGTTGTTGTTGTTGTTGTTGTTGCTAGTATTGTGATTATCTTTATCATTCTCACTATCATTATCGTTATTATTATGATTATGGTTATTTTAGTTTTTCAATGATTATTAGTAGTATTATTGGTACTATTCTCATTCTTATTACGATTGTTATATGGACCTATTTTCGTTGCTTCTTTGGGGGAGGGGTCAGGTTAGGGCTGAGGTTTGAAGGGTCTAGAGCTCACTCTTCTTCATCGCAACGATCGATAGTATGTGGAAGTCTGTGCTTCGGCTCAAGCAGTTTTCAGTTTGGGCTTCAGGGTCTCGGGTTTAGGGAGTTTAGCACCTCAGCCAAATCACCAAATCCGAATGTCATCCATTACATGGAATAGAACCGTCATACCTCTCCGAATACGAACGCCAAATTGTTCCAACAGAAAAATAATGACAACAAAACAATAGTAAGAATATAATGGAATGTGGATGCGCTCGAAAAAATGCTTCGTCGGAGCTTCTGACTCCCATAGGGAACGCGGTGGGTGAAGATTTGGGTGTTTCCGAAATTAAACTTGGGTCCTGATTATAAGGGAATCCTACTTTTGGGTGTCTATAAAAGGGGTCCCTTATCCTCGTAAACTCCGATACAAGAGGGTGGATGTATGGGACCGATATTCGTTCTGAGTAAGGCTTAACTCATCATGGGCCTTTGTGGGCTTGCTAAGGCCTGAGCTGGGACTATGGGCCTCGCTTCTGGAAATCTGAAGAGTGGACCAGGCTACATGTCCTCACCCTGAAACCTAAACTCCAAAAAACCCACAAACCCTAAACCCGAAACCTAAACCCTAAACCCGAAACCTTCCCCTCCCAAAGAAGCCACAAAAGCCGGGACATTCGGCGCGCTCGCCTGGGGGGGTGGCGCCGGCCACGGGAGTTGCTCCGAAGGAGCGGAGAGTTGGAGCTCGAGGAACTCGGGCAGCTCCTGCGGTTAAGGGTGCTTTAGGATTCTGGAGGGTTCCCTAAACCCTAAACCCTAAACCCTAAACCCTAAACCCTAAACCTTAAACCCTGAGCCCTAAACCCTAAACCCTAAACATCACTAACCCTAAGCCCGAAACCTAAACCCTAAACCCTAAACCCGTTCCTTCTTTGAATGCCTTCCTTCAGGGTGAGGGTAGGGCGGTAGAGAAGCCCTTAGGAGGTTCTTGGGTAGCTCTGACCTGATTTCGGCTTTGGGGTTTAGGATTTGGGGCTCTAAACCCTAAACCCTAAACCCGAAACCTGGAATGCTTGTATTAGGGGTTTAGGTAGTAAGTTCTCAAACCCTAGTACCCTAAACCCTAGTACCCAAAAACCAGTACCCAAAACCCTACACCGTAAACCCTAAACCCTAAACCCTAAACCCTAAAACCTTAACCCTAAACCCTAAACCCTTAACGCTAGACATAAGCATGAAACTTCAAGTCGACTCTTAAAGCCCCATCTAGGGTTTAGGGGTTAGGCTTTGGGGGTTAGGCTTTAGGCTTTAGGCTTTAGGCTTTAGGGTTTAGGGTTTGGGGTTTGGGGTTTGGGGTTTGGGGTTTGGGGTTTAGGGATAGCGTTACAGCCCCAGCCCTGAAGACACTTAACCCACACCCTCTTCGGGGTTCAGGGTCTAGGGTTTGAAGGCTTAGGGGTTGGGGTTTTGGGTTTGGGGTTTTGGTTCTTAAAGTATAGTAGAGGATGTGGGGCTTCCGGCATACTGGCTCGGGCCTAGGCTTCGAGATTTAGGCAGTGAGGCGTAGATCTTAAGTATGCGCCTGTGCAAGCACATTGTTTCTTCACATGAAGTAGGGTATACATTTCTTGTATCCCAAAAGGACACCCAATACATACACTCACCAATATTGAAAAGGAACCTTATGTAAACTCACCAATAGCAGAAAGATAAACCCTGCTTGACATGAGAGCCCTTGAACAAATGGATCCCCAAGCTGAAGAAACTCCGGGTGACCACGCCACAAAGTGAAAGCCACACTGCACTTCGCCTTGTAAGATGTGGAGTCTGTCTTCACGGCATTCAGCTGTGGCGGTTTGAGGAGCTCCCTGGAGGTTCTGGATTTAGGACTAGGGTGTAGGGTTTAGGGCTAGGGTCTTTTTGCAGTGGTTTAGGGTTTAGGGTTAAGTGTCAGCCACCCCCGCCAACACCTGACCGCCAAAAGCCCAAAACCAGGCCCCCGCGGCCCGACCTGATCCTTGAAGGCATCCGTGATGTCCTGCACTCTCCAGCTCTTACTTTACAGGGTTCTTCAGAGAGAGAGAGGGCTTCAAGCAAGGTATGTAACCCGAGGTTCCCTGATAGTACTCCCTACTACTCCCTAAGGCTCCCTAAGGTTCCCGAGGTACCTACCCCCCATGAACCTCCCTCCCTTAAGAACACTATAAGTCCTGCACTCTCCACTCTCATGCGCGGCCCGAATCCAGGGTTCCCAAGTGTGGGCCCTGACCCTGGGTCCCTTGTCATATAACCCGCCTAAGGGCCCATACGTCGGATCCCTATAAACAAGGCTAAGGGGCCATACTAGGGACCCATGGTTCCAACCTTACATCGAAGCCCCAAACCAAAATGGGTTAGGGCTTTAGGGCCTAGCAAGACATTTGACCCACTCACCCCTATGAACCCTCTGAAAATATCCTTTAAGGGTCCTTCTAAGGTACTCTGGGGGATTGTAGGGTTTTGGGGTTATAAGCGCCTGGGATGTAACCTTGCTTACTGAAACATAGCTGTAGCTAGTACAGTCCATGCATCTGGAGATAGGAGAATATTGAACAGCAGCAGGTGAAACGTGAAACATTTGGGCGGACCAAGTGTGGAGTGAAAGAATGACATTTGGGCTTTGCCCTGCACGGTACTGATGCAGGATTCTGACAACTTGTGTGGCAACCAACGCCACTCACTCACGGTCAATCTCAGGATCCATCGCGCAGCCCAGGATGCGCCTTGGGCTGTAGGAGGATTCCCTGGGTGTGCTGATCGTACCATCCTTCTCTACAAAGCAGTTAAACCCGATCAAAGCCAAGGCATTGGCCACCAGCATGCTGAAGTAGACTGCGAGCTCCACGCCGAGGCTATTGCCGCAAGCCGTCTGGCCAAAGACGCCCGCTAGGATGCCGAAGATGACGGTCTCTATGTAGCGCAGTGCCAGCACCACTTCGAGGCCAGTTTTGCGGTAATCATCCTTGTCGAAAATTAGCGGCGTGGCTGGGATCAGGTAGGGCAAGAACACCAACCCCATTCTTGCCCTGGACTCCCCACGGTGCGTGCCCTGTCTTCTGCAGATGCAAAGTTGATAGCAAAGGCAGACAGTGAAGAAGCTGCCGGCTGTGGCCGTTCCAAAGGCCCGCACGGGCTCGGAGAAGGCCATCGCGAAGCCCATGCTCCTCACTGCCACGTCGGTGCCAATGAAGAACATGCCGATGGCCTTAGCCTTCCAAGTCTTCATGCGAGTATCAGCACTGGCCGCAGCAGCCATCACCACAGAAGAGGTGAGGGAGACGATGGAGATGCCTACGGAAGCCAGCTTGAAGCCCTGGCCATACGCGCCGAGGGCAAATAAAACGTAAGCTTGCAAAAAGAGTTGCGGTGCCGACTCGGTCATGGCCGTCGCAAGATTCCTCAAGAAGGATGAGTCCTCGGCCCTTATTTCGCTCGGCTCCATTTCCAGGAAGAGCTCCCCAAGCTGCCAGACGTGGGTGAGCTGTAATATGCCGAGGCAGCAAAAGAATGAACTCCGGCATGTTGTCTCCGCCATGCGCCCCAACGTCCAAGCAAATGCCGGAACAAGTGTGGAGATGACTATCAGGGTACAGGAAATTCCAAACCATGCCCAATGAGGGCTGCACGTGGCTTCGGCGTGGGCCTCCAGCACTGTGGTCTCATTGGTCTCATTCACCAAGAGGACGCTGGGACAGTCGGGGGTGAGGGAGTTGTCCATGATGCAACCGTACTGCAGCATCAGCTGTGTTGCTGGCAAGGAAGCTGAAGTAAGTTACCATACTAAGGATCCTTGCGGATCTCATATCAATGACATGCTTCCCCCCTTACGGCAACTGGCTCAAAGTTCCTTAAGAGCAGCCCATGTCACAATGAAGTCCGACACGTAGTCCGCCAGGGCCAGCGCACCGAACAGGGCTAAGGAGGCTGCTTTGAACCACTTCGACCGGTCCATGGCTCGCAACTGGCGAGGTGGTGGAACTAGTGACGCCTTACACTGGAGTGGCTTTGGCGGCCCTGAAAATCTGATGAATCCAAATGTCCAAGCGCACATGTATATGTGCATATATATATATATACATATTGCCAAAAACTAAGTCAGCCAGACAACTCAGGCAATAGGTTTCAACTTCTCAAAATCGGGCTGCTTTTGCCAGCATGCTGCCGCCACAGAGAACAGCATCGAACGGCGTCGACCCTCACACCAAGAGAGTCTGCTAAAGGATTGACTAGAACTCCAAAAACGCAAAACCCTAAACCCTGAACCCTGAACCCTAAACCCTAAACCCTAAAACCCAGAGAAAGGTCTCTCACCAGGCCAGGGGCCGCGTAGGCCCGTACGGGTTCGTACGGGTGTTGCGGGCCGTACGGGCTTAGGGGCTTTACGGGCCTTGCGGGCTCTACAGGCCTTGCGGGCCTTGGGGGCCTTAAGGACCGTACGGGCTTTACGGCTTTATGGGACCGTATACCGGGCTCTACGGGCTCTACGGGCCTTGCGGGCCTTACGGGCCTTACGGGCCCTACGCGTCTCATACGGGCTCTTAAGGGCCATACGGCTTCCTGGGGGCGCCTACGGGCTCCTCCGGCCTGTACGGTCCCTGCGGGCCCTACGGGCCCTGCGGGCCCTGCGGCAAGTGTACGGGCATATGGCCCGGGCCTGGTTAAGGACCTTGCTCGAGAAACCCATCGAAGCCCCAAAGCCACGGACTCTAAACCCTTAAAACTGTAGGACTTCTCTTGCCCTCGAGCACCCCCAGGATTCCCTTTGCTTAGGGCACTCGGTTTGGGATTTAGGGTTTAGGGGGCTTCAGGATGTGCAGGGAAATGCTGTGGACAATCCAATGATAGCAATATGTTGAGAAGCCGTCCGCTAGAACCCCCCCAAAGGCAACTAACCTAACCCCATAAAACCCTAAAACCTTTGAGCATAAATCCTAACCCTGAGAGGCAAGCTGAAAGAGCCTACATAAAAGACCCTCAACCCTCAAACCTAAACTCCGCGCTTTGAACCCTACCCTTAGCACTTAATCTCTTTGCCGTCAAGCAAGCCCCAAAGCCATAAACCCTGAAACCCTCACGTCAAATCCGAAAACCACAAGCCCCCCTAAACCCTAAACGCCAAACCCTATAACCCCAAACCCTAAACCCAAAATCCAAGACCCTAAGCCAAAACCCTACAACCCTACACCCTAAATCCTAAACCCTAAACTCCGAAGGCCCCGAAAAGGTGGCCTCCAGCGCCAGGCGCGGGGGCCGTGGGCCCAGGGACTCGGAGCGCCATCGCGCCCGAGAGCCAGCCTTTTGAGGTAGGGTTTGGGGTTTGGGGTTTGGGGTTTGTGGTTTGGGGTTTGGGGTTTGGGGTTTGGGGTTTGGGGTTTGGGGTTTGGGGTTTGGGGTTTGGGGTTTGGGGTTTAGGGTTTAGGGTTTAGGGTTTAGGGTTTAGGGTTTAGGGTTTAGGGTTAGGGCTTAGGGCTTAGGGCTTAGGGCTTAGGGCTTAGGGCTTAGGGCTTGGGGCTTGGGGCTTGGGGCTTGGGGCTTGGGGCTTGGGGCTTGGGGTTTGGGGTTTGGGGTTTGGGGTTTGGGGTTTGGGGTTTGGGGTTTGGGGTTTGGGGTTTGGGGTTTGGGGTTTGGGGTTTGGGTTTTGGGTTTTGGGTTTTGGGTTTTGGGTTCTTGAGGGATTTAGGGTTTTCGGGTTTCGGGTTTGGGGTCCAGGGTTTGCGGAGGTTTGCGGCTAAGGCTTAGGGCTTTAGGACTTCAGGCCTCCAACTTTCAGGATTCTGAAGGTTGTCTTTCGTGGAAAACAAGTGACTTCCACAATGATGTCTGTTGAAAACCCGAACTATCGCAAACCCTAAACCATAAACCATAAACCCTATTATAAACCCTGAAACCTATTCCTAAACCCTAAACCCCAACCCTAGCAAATCGTTCCGGGAACGTAGGTGCGGGACAGTTCAGGAGGTCTTAGAACTCAAAATATCAATTTAAGGTTGAGGGTTTAGGTCCATCCGAAGAGGTCTTGAGGGCGTCTGGGCATCTGGAGGAAGAGCTAAATACAACCTGAGCCTCACGATTCAAAGGCTTACAGGGGCTTCTAGGCTTTCTAACTGAACTCCTTATGGCCATGCATCGCGCAGGAGGGAGGATGATGTTGTTGGCAAGTCCGATATCATGCTTGCCTCGTAAGCCCGACGCCTGATGCCGCGACTTCTGAGACATTGAATTGCGGCCCAACGATGGTCGTGAAGCATCGTCAGTGGCAGGGAAAACACTTGGCCCCTAAACCCTAAACCTGACCTAAGAAGGATGTTGGTTCCAGGGCTTCGCTTTTCACCCAATGTGCAGCGCGTCGCCGAAGTAAGATTCAGAAGCCCAGTAGACCCAAAACATGTCTAAGGATCTAAGATTTCGGCAAGAACAACCGCTTTTCTGGTTTGGGGTTTAGGGGTTCCTAAGGGTTTAGGGTTTATAGGGTTTATAGGGTTATAGGGTTATATGGTTTAGGGTTTAGGGTTTCCTAAGGGTTCAGGGCTTAGGGTTTAGGGTTTAGGGTTTAGGGTTTAGGGCTTAGGTCTTAGGGCTGAAGGCTTAGGGCTTAGGGCTTAGGGCTTAGGGCTTAGGGCTTAGGGCTTAGGGCTTAGGGCTTAGGGCTTAGGGCTTAGGGTTTAGGGTTTAGGATTTGTTCAAGCTGACCCCCCCCCCCCCCCCCCCAACAAAAAAAAGACTTCCAGAGCTGAGGCAAGAGCCGGCCAGATCCACCGGACGGTCGCGTTGTCATCCGCTCCCCCGCCGAGGATGCCAACTCCCAGCAGGGAGGCGCTCTTGGGTTTAGGGTTTAGGGTTTAGGGTTTAGGGTTTAGGGTTTAGGGTTTAGGGTTTAGGGTTTAGGGTTTAGGGTTTAGGGTTTAGGGTTTAGGGTTTAGGGTTTGGGGTTTAGGGTTTAGGGTTCAGGGTTCAAGGTTTAGGGTTCGCGGTTTTCGAAATTCCCCTAAGCCTTTAAGCCCTAAACCTTTATGCACCTAAACCATGAAACCCTAAACCCTAAACCCTAGACCCCAAATCCCAAACCCTATAAACCCGAACCCTAAACCCCAAACTGACCTAAGCCCTGAAGTGGGAAATCGAAACCTTCAAGCTGGAACTCCTGAATCGCGTTGTCGCCTGCAGTAGGATTAGGGCTTTGGCTTGGGGCTAAGGGTAAAACTTACTGCCTGAGCTTCCGATCTTCAGTGGGCACGGTACCCACAAACATTGATGCAGTGGCATCTTGTATTTTCGCTGGCCTTTTGGTTAGCATCGTGAATCTGCGACTGCATAAGGCTTCTACTGGGATGGACTGGGTAGATGCCTGCGCGACACTGCGAAGAAGTCGCTTCAACCTGAACGCCAAATCTCCTAACGAAACCGAAAACCGCACATCACATCTGAAATCCAAAACCCTAAACCTAAGCCCTAAACCCAAAACCCTAAAACCCTAAAACCCTAAAAACCCTAAAAACCCTAAAAACCCTAAAAAACCCTAAAACCCTAAAAACCCTTAAAAACCCTAAAAAACCCTAAAACCCTAAAAACCCTAAAAAACCCTAAAAAACCCTAAAACCCTTAAAAACCCTAAAAAAACCCTAAAACCCTAAATCGAAAACCGAAAGCCGACGCCCCAAAGCCCCGCGAAGCACCCTGGAGCCCTTGGAAGCTGGACGCCTCGCAGCGTGTCGCCATCGCGGAGTTGCAGCACCTGTTGAAGGGCCCCGGAGTTGGGAGTTGAGCGCTTAGGGGATGTTTAGGGTTTCGGTTTTAGGGCTTAGGGTTTAGGGTTTAGGGTTTAGGGTTTAGGGTTTAGGGTTTAGGGTTTAGGGTTTAAAATTAGGGTTTAGGGTTTAGGGTTTAGGGTTTAGGGTTTCGGGTTTCGGGTTTCGGGTTTAGGGTTGAAGGAACCTTGAATCCGGAATTCTAATTGCCTAGTACCCTCCACCCTCATCCCTTTACAGCAAAAGTATAGCAAAATGCGCAGCAATGTGGACCCTCTGGGCCCAAAAAGTAACAAGATGTGTGTGTGTGTGAATTTCATTGAAATAGCATACGCCATTGTTTATGGCGCCAATGCCTAACACAGGCAAGAAAAGAAGAAGGTTTATCTTTCTTGTACCTACGAGAGAAAGGAAGGTTGTAGTCCAACTATGGGCTAAGTCAGCAAGGGGGGCTGAGTCCTCAAAACCCAATCCCTAACAACCCACAACCCGAACTCGAAATCCTGAGCCTTAAGCCCTCTCCGACAAGGACCGCCAAACAAAAAACAAAAGCCCCCCAAATCACCGTACTCGCTCTTCTAGGAACCGGAAGGTACCAAAAACCCTAAGCCCTCACAGCCCTAAACTCTGCACCCTAAACCCGAAGCCCCAAACCCCAAACCCTAAACTTCAAACCCTAAACCCTACACCCGAAACCCTAAACCCCTAAACCGCTAAACCCCCAAACCCTAAACCCCAAACGCTAAACCCCCCCCCCCCCCCACACCTTGGCCACGTGGATGGCCCGCCGATCGGCCAACGCCAGGCGCGCTTTGCAGCCGCTCAGCTCTTTGGCATCCTTGAGTTTGGGGTTTAGGGTTTAGGGGTTAGGGTTTCGCGTTTGGGGTTTAGGGTTTGGGGTTTTGGGTTTTAGGGTTTAGGGTTTAGGTTTTAGGGTTTAGGGTGTTTCGGATGTTTCGGATGTTTCGGGTGTTTCGGGTGTTTCGGGTTTTTCGGATGCTTCGAGATTCCAGCCATCTAGGGATACCCAGGCGGAAGACCCCAAGAAGGGCTGTTCAAAGGGACCCTGCCCCTAAACCCTAAACGCTAAACCCTAAACCCTAAACCCTAAACCCTAAACCCTAAACCCTAAACCCTAAACCCTAAACCCTAAACCCTAAACCCTAAACCCTAAACCCTAACCCTAAACCCTAAACCCTAAACCCTAAACCCCAGGGGGACCTCTAGCAGGGACCCTTCTCCTACGCGATATCTCGCCTGCGCTTCCCTTTCGCCATGCCATGTTGCAGCCTCAACCCCTAAACCCTTCCGCCGCTTTTGGCCCGGAACCGGAAGGGACGTCACTCCAGGACATTCCATGAGTACCTTTAAGGGTTTAGGGTTTAGGGCTGAGAGCTTTTTTTTGAAGCAGATGTCTGGGAACACCACGACTCCCAAATGCAGGATTCGGATTGAAGGTAATTTTGGGGGGGCTTAGGGAGGTTCAGGGATTTCAGGGTTACGGCTTTAGGATTGGCGTTTTTTGACAATCCATGGTACTTGTTGAGCAGGGTTCTGCTACAAACCTAAACCCAAAACCCGAGGGTTTAGGAGCCTGTGTGAGGTGGGGAGGGGGGGCGAGGGGGGTGCTGAAAAGGCCGAGCAACCAGCAGCAAGCGATTGAGAGCCAATGGCCTGACTTGCAGGGGCCATCTTTCTCCTATCACCCCTGAAACTTTGGGATTTAGGGTTTGGGGTTTGGGGTTTTAAACCCTAGTCTCCACACGCAGCGCGATGAAAACTAGGAGTGGGGAGAAGAAAGTCGTGGTGATCAGCTCTGCATAGGAGCCTAAACCCTACACCCTAAATCCTCTGTGGTTGAGGGCTTTAGAGTTTAGGGTCCATAGGGGTTGTACCTTGGACCCTTTAAGGTTGTACCCTCGGGTTTTGTTGGGCCCTGCTAAAAGATCCGTGAAGGGAATGCAAGGGTCATTACCAAGAGTAGAACAAGGGGACCCATTAATGTTGTATCCTGATTAGTGTGCTCCCCCGGAATTGTGGAAAACATCCAAAAATTATTCAGGGGGATCTATTTGAGGCGGACCCCCGGAATTGTGAAAAAAAATCGGGCGATGCAAAATTTCGGCGAGGCCGTAGAATGGTGTTGTTGTCTAGAAATAGCTTCTGAATGAACTGAGCCTGAGAGACCATGGTTCCTTCTGAGCAGCACTATCCTTCTGAAATTCTTCTGAGAAAGTAAAGAAGAAAGCCTTCTGAGCTCCTTTGAAGGAAGCTTCTGGAGCTCCTTCTGGGCCTTCTCAGTCCTCCCCCCCCCCCCCCCCCAAAAGCCCCCCCCCCCCCCCCCCCACACTAAAGAGGGGGATCCTTTCGTTGAGGGGGGGGGGGGGGGGTCACACTAATCAGCAGACAACATTAAGTGGTACGAGTCTTAATCCCTTGGTACACCCTGGCACATCTCTCCCCAAGCTTCAACCCTAAACCCTCAACCCTCAACCCTAAACCGTAAAGAAGGCCTGAACCTTAAACCCTAAGCCCGAAGCCCTAAGCCCTACACCCTAAACCCTAAACTCTAAGCCCTAAGCCCTAAAACCCTAAGCCCTAAACCCGAAGCCCTTTACCGAGCCTGAGCTGTGCAACAAGCAAGCTGAGCAACAGCCAGCCGGGCCAACGGCGCATTGCGCAGAGGTTTAGGGTTTAGGGTTTAGGGTTTAGGGTTTAGGGTTTAGGGTTTAGGGTTTAGGGTTTAGGGTTTAGGGTTTAGGGTTTAGGGTTTAGGGTTTAGGGTTTAGGGCTTAGGGTTTAGGGCTTAGGGTTTAGGGTTTAGGGCTAAGGGTTTAGGGTTTATGCTGTCGGGGTTGTTCCGATGGCCGACGGCCCTAAACACTAAGCTTTTAACGCAAGGCCCCTAAACTTGGATTATTAGGTTTAGGGCTTGCAGCGCCCGCTACACTTCACCCCCACTTCTCACCCAAATCTTCCCCCCCTAGTTCCCGAATTCTGGTACGTAGGAGCGTGTGAGGAGGGGGTGGGGGGATGGTAGTAGGGTAGTGGGAACCCTAAACCCTAAACCCTCCTAAACCCTAAACCCTAAAACACTAACGATGTTGCCTTGCTTTCTGCAGGGTTCCTATGAGGGGGGGGGGGGGGGGGGGGGCCTTCAGGGCTCGTTTAGTTGGGACTGACTTGAGGGTTTAGGGTTTAGGGTTTAGGGTTTAGGGTTTAGGGTTTAGGGTTTAGGGTTTAGGGTTTAGGGTTTAGGGTTTAGGGTTCAGGGTTCAGGGCTGAGGGTTTAGGGTTCAGGGTTTAGGGTTTATAGGTTCAGGATTTAGGGCGCGAGTTGCCGGTTGCAGGGCGCCCTTCAGCGTTCGATCAAGACTTGGAAGCTCCAACGGCGAGCAAGGGGGCTGGGTAGCCCAGTAACCATATTCCAAACAAGGGGCTAATAATAAGAGGTAAGGGGTTAGGGTTTAGGGTTCAGGGTTCAGGGTTCAGGATTTAGGGTTTCGGGTTTCGGGTTTAGGGGCACATGCTATGCTTAACGTTGCTTAAAACTGAATTGTTGCCTGCTGATTTTTGGAAAAATCCGTTCACATTAACTTAGCGGCTGAATGCCCTAGCCACAAAAAGGTCGACCTTTTTAGATATAGTAGTAGGATTCTACATAAACAAAATGGCGCAGTCCCACATTTAAAGCTTAACAAAAAGGCTAACGATCTAAGGTTGCAGGAATTAACGAGCTGCAGGCCATAGCTTCAAAGCCAAACATATCTCATGATTGTCTTTCTCTAGGACGGCCCTGAAAACCCTCTGAAAAAAAACTATTCCTAAAAAGTGTCCTCTTAAACCCTGTGAGGGAAGATATCCAATATCCCACGGGCCTACAGAATTCCGAGTCTGAACTCGGGCACTTTAAGGGCTGAAGTTAAAAAGTGCTTGAGGGTCGTAAGTTTGGAGTTGAGGCTTAAGGTTCACGGCTTCGGCAGTGGTTGAAGGTTAACGGTTTTGGAGTTGACAGAGCTCCGTGGAAGCCTAAAACCCTAAACCCCAAACTCGCAACCCTCAACCCTCAGCCCCCCACCCCCTGAGGGCTTTTTGGGGAGGTTTCGGGGTTGCCCTAAACCCTAAACCCTCAACCCTCAACCCTAAACCCTAAGCCCTAAGCTCTAAACCCTAGACCCTAAACCGCGGCTGAGGATTTACGGCCAGAGGACGAGGGTCCAGAGGTTTCGGGTTCATTGCAGCAAGCCGAAACCTTGAAACCAAAACCCCAAGCCCTATAAACCCTAAAAACCCGTAACCCTAAACGCTAAACCCTAAACCCTAAACCCTAAGCTGCAACGTCCGCACCTTTTTGCGTTTTGAAATCGCCCTTGGCGAAGTTGGTCCGTCTGCTGCGGGAGCCGCGCCCCCATCTGAAGATATCAACTCTCGACCCGACACCCTGAACCTCTAGGCCCTAAACCCTAAACAGGAAACCAAAACCCGAAAGCCCCAACTCTAAACCCTAAAGCCCTAGAGCCCTAAACCCGAAACCGAAAACCCTAAACCCCAAACCCCAAACCCCAAACCCCAAACCCCAAACCCCAAACCCTAAACCCCAAACCCTAAACCCTAAACCTAGCGCTTCGTCGTGCGGTACACGACCAAGGTGTCACAGGTGGCCATGGCGTAGAGGCCCGGGGCCCAAGCCATGGCACCTTGTTTGTAGTTGAGGGTTTAGGGTTTAGGGTTTAGGTTTTAGGGTTTAGGGTTTAGGGCTTAGGGCTTAGCGTTTAGGGTTGAGGGTTTAGGGTTGAGGTGCTTTGCTCCATCACTTTTTAGGGTTTAAGGTTTAGGCGCTCATTTTGGTGCCTTTGCCAGGGCCTCCAACATGAGTACAAAAGGTTGGCCGGACCCATTTCAAGTTTTAGGAGCTTGGAGGGAAGGGGGGGGGGGGACCCCAGAGGTTTAAGTAAATTGAATATTTTACCT